ACATAGGTATGTGGAATGTTATTGCCCTAAAATGTGTATCTATTCCCTAGCTTGCTACTTCTAGGAAATCTGTTTTGGATAACTAGATAATACTTTCCATAGGAAATATGATACACATCTCATCAAGTAAGAAGTGCTGATAGTATCATTTGTCACTTTAGATTTACACCTTGGCTTTTGACCGTACAGAAGTTTGAGCATAGATGTAGTAATAAATTCAGCTGGAACATGCATGAATACTCACAGGAGGAAATTCATGGCAAAGAGAACCATGGCTGCCTGTCTACTTTAGTTATGTCATGTTCTTTTCTTTTGGTCTACGTCATACTTTTAACCACAGATTATAAAGGAAAAAAATACGATATTAATATATTTATCCTTCTCACTTCATGGTTTCAAAGTACTCTGCAAATATTGCATACTATTCTTTACAGAAAAGATGCAAATGTGTGTTTATAAATCCTGTATTTATATAATTATTGTCCCAGATTTCTTCCAAGGACTTCAAAGTCTCATCACATGCTTTGCTGAGCTGACTCGCCTACAGCAACAACAGGCAAGTGAGTCAGCACCGTGTCACTTCTGTTGGCTGTGCTGAAGTGCTAAGTAAGGGACACAGACTTTACATCTTTTAGCATCCAGAGTCACAGGGCAAGGTTTTCAAACACCAAGTAAACAGTGGTGAATAAAGGGAAACGTCAATGATTGAAAACCAAGCCCTGCTCAAAGAGGAAATCTTAACAGAGCAGTTGTACTCCCAATGACAAATTTCTGCTGTCCTACTGAGATTTAAAGGTATTTCAATTGTACACATAAAATTAGAATGATTAAAATAAATTAGATAAATACTGTTCATGGCCATTTCCCTCTTCTTTGACTCAGGCATTTTGTTTCTTTCAGTCCTTGTACGCAGAGAGGCAAAACAGGCATACCACTGCACCGGATAAAATTATGGGTCAGATTTTTTCTATAAGTCATATCATATAATTCCCATACTGTTTTGCTGGGTTGATTTTAAAGAAGACAGGATGATTAGTGTATCTTTCTGTGTTAAGTAAATGCGTTGTTATTATACTATATACCTCCCATACCATATCTGTCACATCTTTATACTAAACTCTTTGCTAAATATGGGAGATAAAGGAGTGACTTACAAACAGATGTCCATATTCTGATCATCATGTAAGTTTAGAAGTTTCCTCTTTTTTTCCTCTTCCATTTCTGACAAGGAATAGAATAGATAGAAAATGAGTAAAGAGCAAGTTTCTGCTTCTTTCCAGTGCCACAGGAAACACTTTTCTAGAAGAGCCAGGTAGTAATGGGTTTGTTTGGGATTTGCCCAAGTAAATTAAAAGGGCAGCTGTTTCAGTTCCAGTCCCTTTTGATACCAACTTTGCATATATTTTCATTTCGGCAAAAATCAGAATTGTTCTTATGTATTGACAGCTACGCCTCTGAAAAATTCCCCTTGTACTTCTTCTGGTGTCTAAATCAGCCTGTCCTGCTTGGGGAACCACAACAGCGAAGAACTGAGTTTGCAGACAGTTGCTCATTGGAGCATTGGCTCCAGTTGAAGTTACGAGTTCGATAGAATCTTTTTCCTCCTGTTATTTTTGATTGAAAGAGTCCAAGGATTGGATGCTTTATTTTTGGAGAGATGAACAAGTGGACAGATAGGTGAACTGGCATGGTGATTGTGAAGTAACTTGACTTCGTGAATGGGTGCAGATTATGTCTTGTTCCTCTTATTCCTCGTCTTGTTGAGGATATTATCTTCTTGGTTTTGAAAGTTTTTGATGTTTTTGTGAATGCTTTAGAACTTCCCCCACTTAAAACAAATGATAATGTAATATGTTCTTTAAATTCTCTGATTTATTTTTATTTGTTTTCAGTCAAGTTAAAAAAAAAAAATAAAAAAGCTTTACCTTTTCTCTCTGATCGAATAGTAAGGCTCATGCCAAGCTGCATATAAACTTTTGAACTGCAGTTTTTATTATTTTGCTCCTCAGAGGGAGCCTGATTTTATGGAATTGATAGCAACAGCTTTAGCGTGTCTTAACAACCTTTGGGAGCAGCAATGTGCTTAGACAGATGAGGAGTCATCTGAGTTTATGAGAACGTAGTTGCAGTCTAGCTTTGGAAATCTGTCTTTGTGCCACCAGTGTTTTTCAAATTCTGTCGAAGTGTCTTTGGGCATTCAATAAACTCTCTCAAAAAATATGAAATGCATAAACAATTGTGATTTTTAACATTTTCTCGACATTATTTCACTGGTAGCTCTCTTATTCACCATGATCTCAATTTTATTTGAACAAGTTAGAGCTATGTAAATTCTCCTCTGTGTCAGTGTAGTCATCTGTCTACAAGGCTATGAGCTGGATCCAGCATCTGTCTGTACTTCTGCTATTAAAGAAACCCATCTGCATGCTAGTATTTTACCACTAGGCTGTGAAGCCACATTTTTAAATCCTTGTGCAAAAGAATGAAAATATTCCTGCCTATTGATTGCAAGTCTATTAGGAGTAGTAATAACTTAATAACTTCATAACTTCTGGTTCAGCATCTCTTTCCCTTTACCTCTGACACCTTTTGGCTGTGCACCTTAAAGGTCAATCAGTGCTGCCAATATCAGACCATTTTGCAGTAATTTCCCAAAAAATTGAAGGGAAAAAATATCACATAAGTGGGTCTCCTTAGGTTATTTATTAATAATGTAAGGCAATTGAATTACTGTTAACTGATTAATATATGTAATCTTTGTGCATGTTGCTATGTACATACGTGTATGTATAATATATGTACATGCTGGTATAATAACACATTTCTTACTTTATTTGATTAGTCACCTCCCTAGAAGATCACTAGGACTTTTGAATTTTGCTGCAATGTTCTTATCCACTGCAAGTCCAAGTGATTATGTATCTTGTAAGTGCTGACTAAAAAGTAAGACCTCATGTACTTGCAGAAGCCTCCATGTGTGACGATGAAGCACTGAAACCAAAATAACCAACTGTATTCTGACGATCTGATAGGAGCAAAACAGAATATATAGTCCTGCAGACAGTGGTGTTATTTCTTGGAATTTATTATATTCCTATATTTGAATTTAGAGTTTTTGAACTCACATACTCAGTATAGATAGCATTACCATGTTCAGAGCATTCCCATCTATCAAATAAGGGCCATAGAATATATATCTACAACTACAGAAAGGAAAGGAAATTAGAGTCAACTTTGTATAACTTCTGGATGCTGTGCTCCATAAAGTTCAGTTGTCCTTTTGTTGGTTGAGTGCCACTTACTTGTGCAATAAGTATGATGCAAGAATGACTGGTACTCAGTGTCAGTAACACAAAATTTCCTGCTTGTGGTTTGTCACAGGAATCATAACATACAGGCACTGTGAGTGCAAGCTGGCCACTATCCTTGTTTGCTTTCTTTTTTTTGTGGAATTGCCTGAGCAATGGGCTTTTTACCAGTACAAACTGCCATTTTGGAGAACCATAACCTTTCTTTCAAAATGTTACAATGGAGATACATAATACCATACTCATTACACCTTTTTAGCAATTACCTTTTCAGGAACAAGTATTTACAATATTCTTGAACTCAAATGTCACAATATAATTATATTTCATACTCTCGAGTGTTTGATCCCGTGCACTTCACACTGTGGATGTAGCACTGGGAAGACTCTGTACCAGCCCAGTGCTGGTCAACTGTCTGAAGCTGAGAATGTGCCTGGGGCTTCTGACTTGCAGACATCCAGTGCCTGATGCTAGTCCTTCAGTTCTGGCACACACAAGTCGCAGTACCTGGGTATACAGAAGGGATACAGAGACCCAGGCTGAAGCAGCACCTCAGGGGAAGTCCTTGTTATGCCAGCTGTGTCACATCACCACCTCTTCACTTCACACCTCTGCTTGGGGCAGAAAGCTGAGATAACACACACCTGAAGCAGCTGAGGGAATGGCAGGAGACCTAGGTGTGCCTCCGTCAGAAAAGAGTGCACTCAAGATGTTTAATCGCTCATATAAGGAATGAGAGACAAAGAACATTGGTGTTTTCAAAGGAATATTTGGTGTGATCAGTCCTGATTTTGTCCCGTTCTACCACAATTTCAGAGTGCACAGCACTCTGAGTTATTGTTTCAAATTAAACATTCTTTCCTAATCCCCTTGGAGAGCTCTGAATGCCATCCACCTTCCTGCAGGAAGCCACTCTGTATTTCTGCACCGGCCTCCATGCTGCGCGGCCCACTTCTGTACCTTGTTTTTTGTGCTAATGTAGATGCTCCCTATTTTGTCTTGAAGTCAATCAGCCCTGCAGCCTTCGCTGAAATTGGTCTCCAAATGAATTCGTTCTTAGCATGATGAGAATCACCATAATAAGCAAAAACGTTTGATGAAAAACTGCTCTCAGAATAGCTCAGTTAAGAATACTAGAGAAATCGTACTTACAGGCGAAAGACTTTCAAAATTTATTGTACTTTTGATTTTCTACTAAGTAGACTCTTACTACTTTTCCTTTTTTTTTTTTTTTTTTAAAGGATGTATTTTGGAGAGAATCCACAATAAAAACAAATACTCAAAGCGGGGATGGCTTTTCCCTTTCTTTTCCTGGGGCTCCTGGGGAGATGAGCGCAGCTGGCTGTGTGTCTGCATGCAGAGCAGATGCTGCAGGCCAAGTCTGCATCCCAGGCACGGCTGTGCCAGCAGCACAGGGCTGGCACCTCAGGCTGCCCCATCCCTACACTGCTCTGTGCCGGCAGCTTAGGAGGTGTTCATCTTGTTTTTGTTGAAAAGCTGCTGGAAATCTTGCTGTGTGGTTACAAAGTCATATATGCTTCTAGAGCAGAGAATGTTCAACTATATCTTTTCCTGACTTTTGTGTTTTCTGTAGATATATGCACTATTTATCATGCGATGCTTAATAGTGCCTTTTGCTCCTTGCAGCACAAACTGGTTTTTACAATGTGGTTCTTTGTCTTCTTTTTGTAGGCATTTCCTATTTAAACATGGATCGGGGTCTTCAGCAATCTTCAGTGCAGCCAGTCAGAACTATCCTTTAACATCCAATACTGTTTACTCTCCACCTCCTAGGCCTCTTCCTAGAAATACCTTTTCTAGACCTGCCTTCACTTTTAGCAAACCTTACAGGTGTTGCAACTGGAAGTGCACTGCTCTGAGTGCTACTGCCATTACGGTTACGCTGGCGTTGTTGCTGGCCTATGTTATCGGTAAGCCTCTCTTTCTTTTCTATGCTGAGTTGTTTGTACCTTTTCTGCTCTGCTGTCATGCCTGCTTTTACTCTGAATTACTCTACAAATTGTGTTTTACTAATAATGTTTGCCGTGGGATGCTTTGCGAATTCTGGCGAGCAAAATCCCAGGTTGGCCAGAGGTTGAACACAGAATTCTCGTTAACTTATTGCATTGTTAACCTCGATGCTGCCTAATACAGAAATAAATACTACTCAGGATGACATATTTATACCAACAGAGGACTCCTACTGATTTTAATTGCTGTGATATTTTTCTTAAACATCTGATTTTCATATGAAGGCTTACAACATTGTTTCTCTTAAATGTTTGTTCTGAACAGCTATCTGTAACTCTAAACAGTATTTTGGTTTGCTATCATATTTCGTTTCTTCAATCTGATCTGTTTAAATCTTTCCTATTTTCCCTTTAATACTCATTTCACTGACTAACCTTGCAACTAGCTCTAAAATGATGTAGTGTTTTAAACCATAATTTCTACATATTTTCTAGAATGTATTTCTGTCTTTATGTTTGAGAACAATGTGACATAGATTGAAGTACAAGTACTTAATTTCAAACTCATTTTTGGTAAGTAACTAATTTTGCAATTTTGTTGGCATGATAGATTGGCAGCATTTATCACTGTAGCTAGAAACTCCTTCCTTGTTTATTTTTTGAAGGTGGGCTTCGAGTCTGTGTGATTAAAGCCATACATGAGAGAAAAATGTTTTCCTTACTGTATGGCATTTTGGCTGAACACCAACTGTAATGTTCTTTCAGTCTGAATTGAAAATGTTATAAAAGGTTCATTTTATCAAATGTTTCAAGGTGAGCAGAAGCCAGAGTATCCCCACTGTCTTGTGGTGTGAGTGGGAACAATTCTGAGTTTGCCCAGAAGCTGATACTTGGTAAAAGTGGTACAGATACTGAGATGCAGCTCCATGCAGAAAAGCAGCCATTGGTTTTCTGCATTCCATCCATAAGCTTCCATGATGAAAATGATGATGATGAAAATTCCAGTCACTTCCGTTTCCCATTGTATCTTTTGTCCCATGGTGACAAAGTTCTTGTTGTTGGTGAGCTGCTCATGGCGAGGGATTTTTTTCTGACATCCTGATCTAATGCAGATGGGAAAGCAGATTTGATCGTTTCTGGTGTATGATTATTTGAAAGCACCTGAGGATCTAGTAAGCTACATTAATTGCAGATTTACATAACAGCTGCTGAGCATATGCCCTCAGTTAGGACTGGCTGTATAATTTTTGCAGCCTCATCTGCTTGCTACATATATATCTCACCAACACTGCTTCTGTTTTATCTGAAGCACTCTGTGTTTCATCCCTGCTTAGATTTCAGTCTCTGCCACTGAATAGTTTTTAACTTTCTTGAGATGTTCTGCTGTAAATCATTGGTCTGAGAAGGCTGTAAGTGCTCAATATCACTAGGATGTTAAAAACTCTATACGAGCTGCCTGTAGACATGTCTTTCTCTTAAGATTGTAACATACAAGTATGTTTTCTTGATTTAGGCAGAACTGGGTAAAATTAATGTACCTTTGAATTGCATATAAATGATCAGTATTTCTAGATATATTTTAGACATAAAAATGTAATTAGGAAAACATGAGTTGGAATTAAGGTTAAAAACCGTGGCATATTTACAGCAGAAACCCGGCTTTCTACATTTTGCAGCCTGGAAGACCAGAAATTCAATGAACCAGAAATTCTAACTTAAAAGATTTTCCAAAATGCCATTATTTTCTCTTATTTTCACCAGATTTTTTTTTCAGTTGCATAAGTTTTTTCCTGTAAATTTGGCAGTTAGCTTGTTTATTCCAAATTAATATTCTGCTGCCCATTTCTGGTTGGTACATTTAAATGCATTTGTGATCTGCCCTTAATTCTTTCCATTTGATTAGATATGGATACCAGCATATGAACTGATTTCAAAGTTCAGTTGCTATGTAGGCTTTCATATTTTGCATTCCACGTTAAGAATTTAAATGTGAGTGTTTTATATGAGAATAAGTGGATGTATGGAATCAGACAGCATGTAACCTGTGTGGTTAGATTTCACTGCAGCAGGTATCTACTCTTTGCTCACCATGCTTAACACTGCGTTGGCTCCCTGAGTCCTTGCTCTGGAAAGGGTTTCCTTCAAGTCAGAGGGAGTTAGGGCCAAGCAGTGGCTGAAGACTTGGAGCCAAATTGTGCAGCAGAACTCACGGTAAACTCAGAGTCAGACATACCTGGGATCAACTCCATGGTTGGTACTGGAAAAGCAAGGCAAATTTATTTTCAACATTATGTTTTATGGTATGATCTGCACTAAACTATAATGATCTGCAATTTCAAGCCAATTGAAGGTAGATCAAAATTTAAGATTAAGGTTTTTCTTCCCCTTATCAACTTAAATGTGCTTTCTTCAATACCTCGCACTACCATTAGATGCCAGAGCTACATGTTACTGTCAAAACCAAACTCAGATCTCAGCCTCGAGTTGGGATGTTCCCAAAGTCCTGGAAAATCCAGTGCTTCTTCCAGACCAAAAATGTGCAAGTAGTTCTTGTAGTTGTGAAGATCTGAGACCTGTGCAGACCAACGTGCTCTGAGCTGTGATTTCTTTCCATTTGAAAGATAAAGTATTGAAATACTTTTCTATTTTTCAACCTTTCCCCATTATCAGTGAGGCTCAAAAGAGAAACTTCACCTGAAAGCAAATACTTCTGCATTTCCTCTCTTTTGAAGTACTGGTCAGTTTGGAAAAACAAATCTCTCTGATTCCCTTGGTGCCCTGTAAATCAGTGTTCTTATTACTTGGACCTTGCTGAGATAAATCTGTCTGCTACATGGGCAGTAAGAAAATTATGTATAGAACCCCAAAAACAGTTGTACAACAACTGATTTATTGAAAAATTTTAAGCAGAATATTTAGTGCATCGAGTGAAAAACATTGTCACTTCAGCAGGAATAATTTCCACAGATAAGTTTTAAAGCCATAATAGTTACTGCAAAAAATGCCTATTTCGTACAGCAGCGTTTGGTCTCTGTGAACGTCTTGAATTACATATATTTATTCAGTAGAATAAAGCATTGTGCTTTAATTTTTTCTCCTGTAATTTCATACATGTTGACAACTTCAGTGCACTCACACCAATTTCTCCACCATCAGCTGTTTCAATCAGCAGAGCTGGATGCGTGTCACTGGGGTGGGCTCAGGTACTTCTGCAGATGGCACATTCGAAAGGGTGGGAAAGAAAACTGAGTTTTCTTTAATAACATTGGGAAGTACTTTTCAAATAGCCTTCAGATTTGGTAAGTAAGGTGAGAGCTAGCAAACTGTGCACATATTAGTGGCCAAAGGCTATAAATAGATTCCTAATTATCAAATGAAAAATGAGACCATCTCTGTGTGATTCAATGCAGTTAATAGTCTCTCTGTTCATCTATTGGTCTGTGTTGGTATAAACGTGTAAAATATGTTACCTTTTTCAGGTGATGTACTAAATACCCTCTTTTTTCAATCTCATTGTAATAAAAGCCTAAGCAGCCATCATTAATGAAAGAAGAAAAGCAAGCAACATTTAAAAGTGTACAAGGCAAATGCAAGAGATAGAATAATAATGGCACTATTTTTCTGTAGTTTTCAGTACCCTGCCTTTTCTTTTTTTAAAGGCAATACAATATTTATGATGTGCCTGATCACCTACCTAGTCAGTTATTTTTAGCCCATTATTAAATAGGAATTTTCTTCCACGACACCTTCCGTTTTTATCAGCAGATGATTTGGACTTGCAAATCATTGGTCCTATTGATTAAAGGTGCTGAACTCCTACGGTTCCCATTGATTTCAGCAGGAGATGCAAATGTTCTGTGCCTCTGAAAATTGGATCCCATGTACTTAGATGTAACCATCCCTGACTTCAAAATGACTATTTTATATACAAATGAATTCTCAAGTATGAATGTGAAGTTGTCCCTATTCTTCGTGATATTATCTCTGATGTGTGTTGGGTCTTAAATTATATTCATACAGAGGGTGAGGAAATTAAAACCTCTGTGTTTGTTGTTGTTACCTACCACTTCTTGCACTCTACGAGGCAGAGTGATGGCTTCAGGACTGGGAAAGGCTAGACCAAATTTTAAGGATATTCATCCCTCAACTGATTATATTGGTTGCATACCTTTATGCAATACAAAAAGGTGGGGGCTAGAAACTCTGCAGGAAAGGGTCAAGGGGCTAATGTGCTGATTTTACATTGAAACATGCCGTGGTATTTTCCATGCTGCTGGATGCTTCAGGTCTAAGAAAAAGCCATGATACAGATGTGCAACGTTGTAATGCTTCTGAACTCATCAGTGAGATTACTCTGGCTGAGACAGGTCCATCAGGGTTTTGCAGCTGGAAACCATGGCCTCTGCTCTCTCTGAGCCTGCATCCTGCTGATGAGCTTGATATTGTCACAAATCTTCAAGTGCACTGAGGAGTAAGCCTGACAGCATTGTACTATTGTCTAAGATTAGGTTTTGTTTGTTCCTAAGACTAATGGATGGTTTAGTAATGAAAAGTGAAGCCAGGATGGTCATTACATCTCTGAGTAGGAGGATTGTAGGTGAGGGGGGGTGTTCTTGTTCTCAGGTGTAGAAATATGTTGTGGATGAAGAGAAGGCTGCTTGAGAATGAGGAGAATGCCTGAGATAGGACGAACAGAGCAACTGTGTGGAAAAACCCTTGTGTTCTGAAATGGCATTTCTTTGGTTCAAAATGATATTAACAGTCTCAAATTTTCAAATTTGTTCAGAGCAGAATGACACTAGCATTTTAGTTACAGAGTGAACTTGCAAAAGAACTTCTCTCATGTAGGCCAAAATATCAGAACCCTGATTCTGACTTTTATATATTATATTCAGGTATTTTCACATCAATCCACCTTTACAGTGCCCAGCTGCAGTTGGAGAACTGATGCACCATGTGGC